ATTACTCTGTTACTCTTTCACTCTATTACTCTGTTACTATATTACTCTATTACTCTTTATCTCTGTTACTCTTTCACTCTTTCACTCTGGTCCTGTGAAGTTTCTCTGTACACGTGTAGATTCATGTTTCCACAACACTAACAGCTGATTGGCTCCTGTGTTTCACACACACTTTGTCATTGGTCAAACAGAAACGATGAAAAGAGCAGAAGAAAAGAAAAAGTGGCGACAGACGAAGAACAACATTTAACAAACGTCTCACCCGTCGTTACGGAGCAAGAGGAGGAGGAGGAGGAGGAGGAGTGCAGTGATGAAGAGGAGGGTGGGAGCCAGAGCCCAGACAGAGAGATGACAGGATGGAGGGATCAAGAGGAGGAGGAGTCCAAACCTGGATCGTCCCTTCCTGCAGGAGTCTGAGGCTCCACCCCCTGCCACGGGTAGGTCAGGGGGGAGACCAAGAGCGGTGGAGGCCGACAAGTGGAAGACGAGGGGGCGGCGGCAGACTTGGATGATGGCGAGAAGGAGGTGAGGGACGGCTTATCAGGGAGTGGTCTGCCGCTGCCAGGAACCCGAGCCTGGAGACCGCGGGTGGGAGGCGCTGCTTGGTTACTCTGGTTACCAAGAGAGGAAGACGAGGGAGAGGGGGCAACGACAGGGACAACTGCTGCGTGGGGGGGCACAGCGAGTGCAGCGTTGGAGGGCACCACAGCAACCAGAGGAGGCGGAGTCTCTCTAACCTGAGAGGAAGGGGTTACCACTGACGACGTCGGCACACCGTCCTCGGTGGGTTCGGGGACATTGAGGCCGTCGCCCACAGAGATGGAGCGGGACATCTTGGCCATGGAGCTGGCGGTGGGACTCATGTAGGAGCGTGGTGCAGATGGAGCTGAGGACGAGGAGGATGAAGACTTTCTCACTGTGGTGGCAGCAGACGATGCAATGGGGGAGGAGGGGCTGGGTCTCTGGTGGGGGAGGGATGACGATGATGGGGGACGTCTGGGGGTGGAGGGAAGGGTGGTGGGTCGCTGAGGGGGGATGTCTCCAGGACAAGAGGTATCACCTAAAAGAAAGAGAGAGAAAGATGAGTTACCTGTGTCACGTGTGTCACGTGAGTCACGTGAGTCACTTGAGTTACCTGTGTCACGTGTGTCACGTGAGTCACTTGAGTTACCTGTGTCGCTGAGCAGGCTCTGGACTGACTGGACTTTCCGGAGGCCACAGCTCCAGGTCAGATGTGAGGCATTGGTCCGGGCCGTCAGGTCCGGGTTCCTCTTGGTCTCAGTCTGAACATTGTTCCTCAGAGGCGCCTGCAGCACCACTGAGTTCTCCTCTTCCTCTTGAACCTGGTTTTGGAGCTGATCTGGTCTCTGGTGGATCTGGTTCTGAGACTGGACATGGTCCTGAGGTGTTGAAGTCTGGTCCTGGTTCTCTTTCTGGGTTTGGTCCTGGTTCCCCAATACCTTCCTGTCCTGGATACTGTTCTGACAAGGATCCATCAGAGGTCGGACTTCAGAGACCAGAGGACGGCCCTTCACCTCCCCTCCTCCTCCCCCACTGGTCCGAGATGGGAGAGGAAACAAAGCCCGACTGAGGAGAGAAGGAGCAGAATCATCTGAAGACCCAACCTCCTCGAACACCATCCGACAGAGTCGACTCTAAACCTTCATGTAAAAATGTCAGATGTTGGATGTTTTACCTTCCAGCTGAATTCTGGGAGAGGAACCTGGAGGAGATGCTGAGACTCTCACTGGAGCTGTGAGACGCTCTACTCGGACTTCCTGTCGACAAAGACTGTGTTTATTGAAACAACCGACTGTCGTGGTGTATGATGGTGGTTCTGTATGTTAGTGGTGTTGTATGTTAGTGGTGTTGTATGTTAGTGGGTGGT